TGAAAAGTAAAGATGGGGAGAGGAAGTGAGAAAGCAAGAGAGAGAAGTGAAAAAGAAAGATAGGGAGAGGAAGTGAGAAAGAGAGAAGTGAAAAAGAAAGATAGGGAGAGGAAGTGAGAAAGAGAGAGAAGTGAAAAGGAAAGATTGGGAGAGGAAGTGAGAAATCAAGAGAGAGAAGTGAAAAAGAAAGATAGGGAGAGGAAGTGAGAAAGAGAGAGAAGTGAAAAGGAAAGATTGGGAGAGGAAGTTAGAAAGCAAGAGAGAGAAGTGAAAAAGAAAGATAGGAAGTGAGAGGAAGTGAAAAGCAAGAGAGAGAAGTGAAAAAGAGAAAGATAGGGGAGAGGGAAGTGAGAAAGAGAGAGAAGTGAAAAGAAAGATAGGGAGAGGAAGTGAGAAAGCAAGAGAGAGAAGTGAAAAAACTAAAGATAGGGATAGGAAGTGAGAAAGCAAAGAGAGAAGTGAAAAAGAAAGATAGGGAGAGGAAGTGAGAAAGAGAGAAGTGAAAAGGAAAGATAAGGAGAGGGAAGTGAGAAAAGAGAGAAGTGAAAAGTAAAGATAGGGAGAGAAGTGAGAAAGAGAGAGAAGTGAAAAGGAAAAGATAGGGAGAGGAAGTGAAAAGAGAGAGAGAAAAAAGGAAAGATTATGAGAGAAGTGAGAAAAAGAGAGAGAGAAGTGAAAAGGAAAAGATTGGGAGAGGAAGTGAGAAAAAGAGAAGTGAAAAAGAAAGATAGGGAGAGGAAGGAGAAAGAGAGAGAAGTGAAAAGAAAGATAAAGAGGAGGGAAAGAGAGAAGTGAAAAGAAAGAAAGAGAGAGAAGGAGAGAAAAATGAAAGATTGGGAGAGAAGTGAGAAAGCAAGAGAGAGAGAAGTGAAAGAAAGATAGGGAGAGGAAGTGAGAAAGAGAGAGAGAGAAAAAAAGAAAGATAGGGAGAGGAAGTGAGAAAGAGAGAGAAAAGTGAAAGAAAGATAGGGAGAGGAAGTGAGAAAGAAGAGAGAAGTGAAAAGAAAGATAGGGAGAGGAAGTGAGAAAGCAAGAGAGAAAGTGAAAAAGAAAGATAGGGAGAGGAAGTGAGAAAGAGAGAGAAGTGAAAAGAAAGATAGGGAGGGAAGTGAGAAAGAGAGAGAAGTGAAAAGAAAGAAAAGGAAAAGAAAGAGAGAGAAGTGAAAAGAAAGATAGGGAGAGAGAAGAGAAAGAAAAGAGAGAAAGAAAAAAGAAAGATAGGGAGAGGAAGTGAGAAAGAGAGAGAAGGAAAAGAAAAGGAAGTGAAAGAGAGAGAAGAAAGTGAGATAGGGAGAGGAAGAGAAAGCAAGAGAGAAGTGAAAAAAGATAGGGAGAGGAAGTGAGAAAGAGAGAGAAGTGAAAAAGAAATAGGAGAGGAAGTAAAGAAGAGAAGTGAAAAGAGGAAAGGTGGGGAGAGGAAGTGAGAAAGCAAGAGAAAATAGAAAAGAAAGATAGAGGAAGTAAAAAAGCAAGGGAGAGAAAAGGAAAGACAAAGAGTGGAAGTGAGAAAATAAGAGAAAGAAAAAGATAGAGGAAGTAAGAAAGCAAGAACAAGTGAGAAGAGAAAAGGAAAGCAAGGGCAAACAGAAAAAGATAGAGGAAGTGAGAAAGCAAGAAAGAGAAGTGAAAAGTAAATATATTTGAGAAACTGGGAAATATAGACGTTTCTAATCACATGGTCATTTAAACAGAGTCCAAAAGCATCTCCGAATGCTTGTGGGTAATGAATTGTCCGCCTTTCAACCTCTCACCCACAGGCAGAATATGGCAAGCCTCTTGCTGCTCTACTGTTACTTCCATGGAAAATGCTCAGACAAACTACATTCCCTGGTCCCACCAGGCAAATCTTAATAGCAAGGACACACCATGCTACTTACATAGTAGTAAACCAACCACATTCTCTCCATATTCCATTGGTAAGAAGTAAGTTCCACTCAAGCAGCTTCTACATGCTGACCACTGCCTTGGGGAACTGACTCTCAGTAGGTTGTTTCCTCTGATCACTACAACCTTAACCTGTTCAAAACTAGGGTTAACCATTATCTAACTGTTGTGCTAACGAATACATACAAAAAACGCAGAATATTAAGTTACACAACAATTAACAAAACAACAAGGAATAGAGGATGGTCAAATGCTGTATAGCCAAACAAAGTAAGATCAGTCCAAATATTAATCAGCTTAGTATCAACTTAATCAAATATTGAAGTCCTAATTGTAAACTATTTAAGGCTATGAGCCAGGTCATCTGGAAGAATGCTGAAGGGGTGCGAGCTACTCTAAAACAGGAAGCAAATTGGATGCTCAAATGCACTGATTGGCCAGCAAAACATGGGCTCTTCCAGCAACATGCACCACACCCTCTTCTTTGTTGACTGAGACACATGAATTTGGGGAGACGGGAGATACCCTGTATGCCAATTACACATGTACATATATACACACAAAATATTTTGATGTATGCATATTGTATATACATTGTATGTATTAACAGGCATTAACATTAACACTTTCACACAGACTCACTAGAAATCAATTCACTGTTAATAACTCATTCTTGAATTGCCCCCTTATTCCGTTGGTATAGTAAGCCAAATGGTGCATAACCTCTGTATACCCCACCGGTGGGGCATGCACCCCACATTGACAATCATTGCTTTAACCCATTTCACATTTTTTTTATGTAAATCAAGGTTTTTGGCGCAAACAAAATGGATTTAATCTTAAAATAATTGCCCTCCTCATATTGAAAATGAGTTATTAACAGTGAATTGTTTTCTAGTGAGTCTGCGTGAGAGTGTTAATGTCAATTCATGTTAATACATACAATATATATATAGTATGCAAACATAAAAAAATTTTGTGTGTACATATGTACATGTGTAATTGGCATACAGGGTATCTCCTGTCTCCCCACATTCATGTGTTTCAGTCAACAAAGGAGAGGGCGTGGTGCATGTCGCTGGAAGAGACCATGTTTTGTTGGCCAATCAGTGTGTGTGAGCATTCAGTTTGTTTCCTGTTGTAGAGTAGCTAGCACTAAAATAATGATTTGGGTGTTCAAAAATATACCCCGCTTCATATAAAACCATTGATTTAGTTTCAAATAGCTGTGTTTAGAATATTTTAACCTCCAGAATTCAATTGGATTGACCAATTTCAAATATTTACTGAGGCAACCCAAAGTAGCAGAAGATGGACCATGACAACACAAGATGCCACAAAAGAACAAGACCTTTTTGTTTCTAGCTTGTTTCAGGAAAACTAAAAGTTTGTCACCTGAAACTTTTGTGTCATTCAAGTGTCAAGTAGATTATCACCAAGCTAGTTATGTGTTATAAAGTCAACATTAATTATGAGATTACACAAAACTGATTGGCATTGTAAATGACTCTCCCTGACTAAATTCATAAATTGCATATGGCTCGTTTCATAATCAGTGACTGCGACAATTAGTAAGTATTTGAACTATACTGTTAATTTTCCATGACATCAATTCTAAGTCTTTGGCATTTTAAGAATTTTGTAGTTCTTGGAGGTTACAGCTAATTCTTCAGTGCATATTCTGGACACTCCTTTAAATAAGACCTTAAAACACTCCTCTTTTACAGTTGACTGCATTGAAGAATATTTATATCACATCAATAAGGTTAAAACTATTGGCTTACCTCTTTTGTATATTTTACTAAACTTGATTTTAGCATTGTCTGGTTAAGGCCACAACTCTGCTGCACCCAGTGAGGATCAATTTCTCTATTATATAATTGGTAAGTTAATGTTCTTGCAGAATCAGTATTATATAAAATGGATTTTTGAGACAATCTTGATTTTTTTTTTGTTGATAGCCTGTAAGATTTTTATGGTTGCCACTGGAGTTCCTCACCCCCAAACTCTACTTACTTTGTTTTGAGAGTCTTTATTTTGTTGTATAAAGAAAATGAAAACAAAGGTGTTTCCTAATGTACAGTGCTGTTCGCTAAAAGTGACTTACCTGATTTTTTTTACTAAAATATTTTTTGTCTGTTGTTTTTGGGGTTAAAATAATTTTTAATCTTACTAATATAAAGACCCCTTCCCGACCACCTAGGAAAAAAGTTTATTTACCCGAAGGTATTCTATTGATAATTATAAATTTGGATATAAATGAGATTCAGGAAAAAACTCTGTGCAAAAAATGTGACTCAGATATCACATTCTAATGATTAAACTGGTAAATTTAAAGAGCTTTTGACAAAATATTGAAATCTATTTTACAATACACTCAGAACAATATTCTAGAGAATTCTAGAACAGCATAAATTAAATCTAGAGTATTCCAGAATATTCCAGAAAGCCTCATACAGTATAAAAACAGCTTGAAATAGCCACTCAAGTCACTAACCAGATGAAAGGGTACAAACACGCATCAGAACCACTTAAGGCATCTATTATTGATCTCTCAAAAGCAAAGTCTACGAGAGAAATTGCAGAAATTGCTATAACCTCGCAATCAACTGTCTCTCGAGTGCTTAGGGCACATAATGATGCCACTCCTGCTCCAAGGAAGGAAACAAGGGAACGAAAGAAAAAGATTGATGATAGAACTGGCAGGGTAATCAAGAGAGAAGTTGCGAAGAATAGGACTATAACTAGCCAAAAAATTGCAGCCAGTCTAAGCAAAGAGCAATGTGTTAGTCTTGCCTCTTCAACAGTCTGTCGGTGGCTGTCAGAAGGCTACAAATCTTGTAATAAGCAAAGCCAACAAAGCCAAGAGACTTGAATGGGCTCACTATTACAAAAATTTCACCATAGAAAACTGGAAGAATGTTCTCTTCGCCGATGAAATGAAAGTTGAGCTAAATTCAAAGGATAAGGTGAGTCACTTTTATCGAACAGCACTGTATATAATCACAAATTGTATAGTACGGATTTCTTTTTCAGTCCTTTTAATAGACTAAACTGTACATATTGAATAATATAGTGTGTTCCAATAACCTGGACAGATTTTAAATGTAAATTAAGTTTAAACGTCTTATTATTTTTTTTCTTTTTCCTTCAGATTTAACAACTTAAGTCTTTGTTAATCTTTCCATGGTTGAAATTGCCAATCAAACAAAGTATTAAATTTATCAAAGCCTATTGTGATAAATGGATGTTCAAAGAGAAATGCATTTTGTGCACTTTGCAATTTTTTTGGTCAACATAATCGACTGACCAGGATTGCAATTGGAAACGATGTAATGTTTGTAATGTTGCTGTGGAGAGGTTCAATTCCTGTGCGCAGTGATGAACAGAGATGTCTGGATTTTGGCCACATTCTCGTGCACTGCAGCAATGTTTTCAGCTGAACAGCATAAACAAGCATGTAATGGTGTTTTCACATCTGCCACTGACCCAGTTTGTTTGAGTTTAAGAACAATTTTTCCAGTAGCACTCTTGAAATTTTAACACGTTGTTTGATTGTTAATCTTTCCATGGTGAAAATTACCAAAGACTTAAGTTGTTAAATCTGAAAGAAAAAGAAAAGTCATTAGATGCTTAAACTTAATTCACATTTAAAATCAATCCAAGTTATTGGAACACCCTTTATAACTGTACTGACTGTTATTTCTTTAGCAGATAATGTTTTTAGAATGATTGGTGTTGGGATATTTTGTGTTCTTTATGAGATGTTAGCACTTCTCTTTTTTTGGCTATTTCTGATCTATTTTATATTTATATCCTTTGTGGATTTTTACAGCCTCTTTTTGGATATTTCTGCATTTTTTTTTTTTTCAGTATTTTGCTCTGTTATTAGATACTAGCTGAGGTAGTTGGCATTGCTTCGGTGTACATGGCTTCAATTATATAACTGCACCTCCCTGTATAGCTGCCCCTACCTGTCTAGAAATATCTGCCTGCATCCCCACTTCCATGCATCATCCATTGGTATACTAAGCTGCCCCCTATCTCATCTTTTTTACGGTATGTCTTTTGCAAGTATTTAGTTGTTCTTAATAAAAGGATTCCATTAATAAAACCTTGTGTGGTTGTTGCTTAGTGTTAAATTGTTTAAATGTTTTAGATATTCAGTAAATTTCCTACAGCTGTAATAACTTTCAAATAGTATGGTAAAAATCTAATAATCAAACAAAAAAGGTATGAAGCATCAGAGTTTGATTCAACTGCGCATTTACTGTAAAGCTGGAGTTAATAAGAAATTCTTCAGGAATTTTTCATTTTTAATGCTTAAATGATGTAATTTACATGGCAAATTTGGAAAGCATTAGATGAAAAATCAGGGAGTTATGACCAAAAAACATGCTTTTTAAATAGTTTTTCATGTTTTTTTTGGTATACACAGAGAAGGGAAAAGGACTAAAACCAGACTATCTTATTTTTTTGCATGATGGCAAAATTTTGTGACATGTTTGAAGAAAATCAGATAAAAAATGAGGAAGTTATCCAATTTTTCATTTTTAGTAGTATGAAAAACTTGATTGTTTTTCACAGTTTTTTGCAATTTTTTGTGTGAAGCCAATGTCACAGGAAAACTATCAAGCACTCTACATAAACTTTGTTACATGAGCTATGTTTTGCATTAAGTGCAAAGAACATCAGCTCATCCAGTAAAAATTTGCTTCATTTGTAACTTTGCTTTGGTTATTGCAAAAAGTCATACCCACCTTCAGTTTTATTGGATTTTGATAAAATCTCCAGGCCTCCCCCAGTCTTGTGATTGAAAAGTTGGTCTTGACCTCCCTTGGTAAATTTGCAACATGTATGTACAATTTGTTCGAAATGGTCAGAAATGTGGATGTGCATAAATACACAAACACACAAGCAGACATCTTCTGTTTTATAGATATAGATTTGTGTCCTTTGTGAATTTTTTCAGCATCTTTTTGGATATTTATACTCTTTTATTTTTTAAATGTCTGTGTCCTTATCATCATAGAGTGTCAAATAAATACAAAGTGTAGTATCTGTCTTCTGAACAGAACACATCAGACAATCCTTGAGGGATACCTGTTCATGGGAATTCTAACCCTGCAGCAGTACCTCCCTCATTGCACCAAAGAGGGAGCATAGGTGAAATACTGGCACCAGTGCAGCATTGATTGCAGACACTGAGTAATTTTCTAACTTGGCTCATGTGTACATGCTTGGGCTCTCCACTTTAAAACTACCTTGTGTTATATCCCATCGGCATGGCATGACAAGTAAATAATGAGTTTAGTATCTGTGCACATGTCGATTGTCAGACAATTGCCATCCCTCCATTGATTGATCATCCATGAACCCATTGATGACTTTTCATTCCTGCCAGCGACTTGCATATATTGTAGCAGATTTGGCATTCATGACCATTTGTACTGGTTGAGATAACAGACACAGTGTTGGCTTCACTTTGAACTTTCATGTGATGCTTGGGACCACCAGCTAATCAGCATACTCTAGAGCAATGTTAGCTGGAAAAGTTTGCATCCTGGGACTCAATGTGCAGCATGGAAGTGACAAGTGTAATTGGATTGCTTTCATGAGATTTCACATGATTAACCAGGCCTGCCTTTGACATCAAGGTCTTGTCACACACCTCACAGACCCACACATCTCCACAATTGTTTTCTGCATGCTCTCTTGAGCTTTGCACGGTCTGTTCTGGCTGCTTCCAAAAGTTCAGTACCCTCGAAAAATCACAACCCTCCACTGGCTATGATCAGATGGTAGGGATTCCCAATCATCCAAACTCTCTTTGATACTATCTCAAAACCGTTTTGTTTTTTTTTTTTACTTGTGCTGTGGTCTCTTGCCAGAAAGAATCTCCCTATAAAACAGCTGTTTTGGAAGTCTGGCATCATCAAGCCAAACAAGATGGCCAGCCCAACACATTTCGTTCCTAATCACAATTGCAGCAATGCTGATTGTTTTGGCTTTGGTCAAGACGCCTGTATCTGAGACACAGCTGTCACGCTTCATGCCAAGAATATGTCTGAGACAGTGCTGATGGAATCGTTCAAGCTGTTTTATATGAGATTGATACAAGGTCCAGGTTTCAGATGCATAGAGTAATGTTGACAACACGTTTGATACACACTTTAGATGCCAAAGTTAAATCATCATCCAACCAGACTCTATCTTCTAGCTTACCAAAGGACCCAGATGCCTTGCTTATTCTCTGTATGATTTCTACATCAAGGGCAACACCATTTGATAATTTACTACCAACGTAGACAAACTCTTTGACGACTTCAAGACACTTTCTATAGACATAGATGTCAGGTTCCACGTAATGATTGCCAGAAGCAGGCGTGTACATGATCTTGGTTTTCTTAATGCTGATTGTCAGTCCAAAGCAGGTACAAACATTAGTAAAGAGGTTCATCACTGACTGCATTTCCTCTAAAAAGTGAGCAACAAAGTTGGTATCATCAGCATATAGAAACTCCCTAACAAATGCATCACTAACATGAATTCTGGCTTGGAATCGTCTCAAATTGAAAACTTTTCCAGTTGTTTGGAATCTGATGTAGACACCTGTATCAAAGTCATGGAAGGCATGCCAAAACATACATATATATATATATATATATATATATATATATATATATATATATATGTATATATATATATATATATATATATATATATATATATATATATATATATATATATATATATATATATATATTTATATACAGAAAATTACTAAACCCTAATTGTACATAGCAATCCTTGGTGGTTTTTTTGTTCTTAATTTCAAAGAAATATCCCTTCAAAGTTGGGGACATAAGAAAAACACCAAGGATTGACATGTACAATTACAGTTCAGTAATTTTCTGTTTAAAATAATTCTATCAACACTCTATTTTTTAATATTGAGCACTATATTAAAAAATCAGCTTCCCTTAAATTTTGGATTATATATATATATATATATATATATATATATTATCATCCACAGACGGACCGTTTTGCTACATCACAGCTCATCTGTGTGGCTAGATGTCCAGTTGCCTCTAGCTAGGATCAAAACCCAACTGAATTGGTATCAGAGATTATACCCCTAAGCCATTGGCACACAACCGGAATGAAGGAGAATTAAAAGTGTATTTATTTTTAGATAAACACACAGGGACTTGAGAGAACTCGATTCACTTGACAAAAGAGTCTTATATATATATATATATATATATATATATATATTACTGACACCCTGATGAGTAAACAGAGCGATTACTGGAGAATCCATCTACAGAACTCTAGAGTTAGGATGCTGAAGGTAACACCAATCAGCTAAGTGACAAACGTTATATTTGTATTAATTATATATATATATGTTTACATACAAAACAAAGTATAGGTAAAACTAACTCAAAGCCAGCCAAGTGACCAAAGAAAATTAAAGTCAAAACCAATAGATCAAAGCAAAAAATAAAAACAGGAAAAATAAACTAAGGAAAAAATCAAAGACAGACACCTATCTGTACAGTGTCCCAGGTATGATGATAAACTACATCCGGCAACATGGTCTCTGATCAGGAGGTTTTGCGGAGCATGGACCCACCTCTTAACTGCTCTTGTTCCCAGGTCCACCCTGACCTATGTTGGTAGTACCTGTTAGCGTCCCAACTAAGGGAAAACAGTTAACCCTCAAACTGGAGTCAAAACACTATGAAAGTATAAAAATACATTTTCATAGTAAAAATACCAGCAATACATTTTCATCATAAATAAATTACCAGATGTACATTTTTTTGTGAAAAAAAATTACTAGCAATATATTTTTGTAAAAGAAATTATTAATGCTCCCAAATAATTCAATTTTGGCTAGAAATGACCCTTAAGGTATTGATATGTTGTTAAACAAACAATAGCAATGGCTGACTAAACTGTGAAAGAAAGTGCTCTATGACTAAATGAGCAAGACAGAGCAATTATGCTACCCACCAATGCTACTGAAAAAGAGACTGCTATTCAAGCTTCATGTTACTGCAGTTGTCAAGTGACCATGTATATAAGGTAATGATAGGATTTGGCCGTTTCCATACAGGAAATATTCAGCATTCATTAACAGAACAGTTTTACTGTCACCTGAAATTTATAAAATATTTCTCTTGAAACAGTTTTTCATGAAGACAGGCTTTTCAAGTCCATAACTCTTATCAGTCTTTCTAGAATTGATAGGGGTTTCCTTTCTAACCTTTTATTTAAGGCAATGTGGAAAGCCAATATCTTGACTATATCATTATTTTCTCTTCTAGTTACATGTGCTATCATTTTTGTTGTTGCAGCTTTTGGAAGTCTTCAAGTAATATGGCTTTCATTATTTGATAAAAATCTTTGTTTGGGGTTCTGTATTGCCAGCCTATGAAGATCTGATGATAATATACAGGTTGATTGAAAAGTAACTTGCCCATTTTAAAATATTTATAATTTATTTATTAACTATAATTTTTACAAGAAATGGATATGAGAGGAAAGCTTTTAGCATGAGGTTTTATTTAAAATTTGATATGAGCACCAGATTTTGCTACCAGTTTCTCAAGCCACCCAAGAATCACATCAACTGATTTCACCAGGAAATCTTGTGGTATGGAAGACATAATTTCTTTTAATCACTCTTCAGGTTCTTCCAAAGTCTTGGTTTGATATAGTAGTCGACTTGCTCCTTTAACCAACCCCCAAAGAAATAAGTCACAGGCTGTTATGTCAGGACACCTGGCAAACCCCATTCATACACAAAATAAGGAGTTACTTTTCAATCACCCTGTATTTAAGTAGTAAGAATTCTTTTAAATAATTTTGTTAAATTTAACTGACAATATCTTTCTGTTTTTTATTGTATATTTATATTTTTTCATTTTTTTTTTTTTTTTTTTCAATTTTCAAATGTGATATTATACATCCAAGTTAAAATTGCAGATGAAATATTGTTTTATTCTGTCAGGTTTACAGTCAATGATGAAATTATTCATATGCCCATCAATTTTAAATATTTTTATCCATTTCTCAGAATCTAATGCCCATATGATGCTAGGTTTTTTATGTTAATAAGCACAAAAGACAGGAAAATAAAACTCAATTTTCGAAACAATAGGTTAAATACAACAAATTTGACAGGTGAATTATGCAAAATAGGAAAAGACAAAATTATTTGTACAGCATGAAAAATAGGAAAAAATTAAACAATTTTCACAATATTAATAGTCATTAGTATGGCCTCTCATCTTTATAATTTGCTGCAATAATTTTCTAAAGTTTTTGATGAGATTTGAACAAATCTTTTCTGGGATTTTCTTCCATTATTCAATGGCTACACATTTTAATTCCTGAAGGTATTTTGGTCACCAAAAATTTATTTGAACTTTCAATTCTTGACATAGATTTTTAATAGGATTCAAGTAAGGACTCATTGAAGGCCATAGCAGAACTGTAATCTTCTTTTTCTGAAGTCATGTAGTCACTGATTTAGATGTATGTTTGGGATCATTATCTTGCTGAAAAGTAAATTGCCAACCTAGATTAAGATTTTGTACTGAGAGTTATATATTTTCATCCAGAATTTTGATATAGTCTGCAGATTTCATTATTCCTCTTATTGCAATTAATTATCCAGTCCCCCTTGAGCTAAAACAACCCCAAAACATCATCAAGCCACCTCCATATTTTAATGTTGCCATTTTGTTCTTTGGGAGGAAAGCCTCACCTTTCTTGCACCAAATCTTTTGTATATCATTATATACAAAAAGTTCAATTTTTGTTTCATTACTCCATAGTACTTTTTCTCAAAAGCAATTTTCTTTCTCCAAGAATGTTTTGACAAAATTAAACCAATCAACAATGTGATATGGTTTGTGAAGAGGGTTGGTTTCCATACATCCCAACTCTATTTAAACAACATTGTATTGTGCGAGCACTTATGCTGATACACATCGTATCTAAACTTTTGGCAATGTCTTTCAAAACAACTTTTGGGTTTATATTAACCTCATGGCACAGTTTTTGTGCAGTTCTTGTTGACAATTTTGGTTTTCTTTCACACTCAGGTAAATTCTCTGTCGTACCAAACTCTTTACACTTCTTTATAACAGACTGTACCATAGATCTATGGATAGCTAACCAGCTGAAATAGAGGATCTGTAACTATATCTCGACTTGTGGAAGTTAATAATTCTCTGTCTCAAGTCAACACTAAGCTCCTTTGTCTTCCCCATCGTGTTGATAACATAAGAATAACAATGGTGACACTCTAGGCATCACGTGATATTCTTTGCTGGAATTATCACTAATATTCTACTGAATAAATAGTTTAGAAGACTTCACCGATAAAATATTTATGTAAATTACTTATACTTAGGCGAATCAATCAATTTAAAACCATATTTTCTACTGTACGAATAATTTTGTCTTTTCCTATTTTGCATAATTCACCTGTCAAATTTGTTGTATTTAACCTATTGTTCTGAAAAATGAGTTTTATATTCCTTTTTGTGCTTATTAACATATAAAAAAAACTGGTATCATATGGGCATTAGATT